AAGAGGGTTTCACAATCCGTATGTAATGAATTCAAAAGTTCCATGAACTGCTCACTTTGAATGATCTTATTTAAATAATGAATCTTCTTTCTTTTTTTTTATTTTTAGATTTGAAAAGACCTGGGCGCCTTTAAATCTTGATAGGCTTCAACATTGGATAGATAATGGAAGAATTGATCCAACACAACCTATTACGATGAAACATCTATTAGATACAAGATGTGTAAGAGGTGTTAAAGACGGAGTTAAACTATTAGCTGATGTAAAGAACGTTCAAATAATTTTTTTTTTTTAGAAAAATAAGCATTTTTCTTTTTAATTTTCCGAAAAAAATTCTTTCCTTAATAAATAGGGTAGGGAACACTTCAGAACTCCGATCGAAATTGAAGTAGCGCGAGCTTCTCAAAAAGCTATAAAATCAATCGAGTCAGTTGGAGGAACAATCACTTGTAGATATTTTAACAAATTGGCCTTGAGAGCTACAATTAAACCTGAAAAATTTTGGAAAATCCCAAAATTTGCTGCTCCCATGAAACAACGTGATATTGGTAATTATGAATGAACGTTTATGACATGAACGCTTTATAAGCAATCTATTTATTAAGAAAAACAAAATCTTTTCTTTCTTATTCGTTATAATAGCTTGGTATTCTGATCCAAAAAATAGAGGTTATCTCGCTCAACCAGAAAATTTAAAGAACACGCTTTTTAACTCAAAACTTGAAAACATTTGATAATTGTAAATCGTTAATTATAGATCCAAATTAAAGGCAATAATATGTAAATCTTTTTTTTTTATTTTATTTTTATTTTTTTTTTTTGAATTTGCCTTTTTAAGAGAACTTCTTTCTTTTTCTTTTTTTTTTTTTGGTAATAAAAAAATTATTTATCAAGTAATTATCTTAGCCACTATTATTATTAATCATTACGAAGAAAATAGGGTATTAAGTAATAAGATAGAACGATTCTTTGTATCCTTATGAACCAAAAAAAAAGAAAGAGAAAAAAAAAAATTTTTTTTTTGATGATCATAAACGAAAGCACTGAGAAAAGGTTATAATCGGAAAGAAATGATACAAGGGAGAATGGAAAAAATTTACAAATATAATGCAAGAATATTAAAAAAGAAAGAAAATTGTAAGAATCAAAATTATATATGTATAATTTGAAAGAATAAAAATATATCATAAAATGATTTTTTTTTTCTTAACGTAAATGTTTTGATTGATCCATTAAAAAAGGTTAAAGAAAAAATAAAATTATTAATCAGAACGATTTAAAAGGAACAGGAAAATGAAAAGCGTATTTTTTTTTTTTTTTTTGCAAGAATGCTGCTTATGATATGGACTTGAACGGAAATGATAAATATATATATATATATACATACATATATATAAGCGATAAACAAGTGCGTCAAATAGCACGTAACCTGTAAGAATTTCACTGCAGAATAATAATAAAAAAACTAATTACTATATTCAGGAAAAAAAAATAATTATAAGGACGAAAATGGAGGTGTCTGAAATCACATTTGGAGAAAAAAAAATAATGGAAAGGAAATTAATTACATTACATACAAAGAGATAACCCCGGATAAAATATGCATTCCGCATATTCAAAAGTATGTGGGTTAAAATGTGAAAAAGATGAACAAAAGAATAAAATAAAAAAAATAAAAGTAAAAACATATACACACTCAATTACTTTTCATTGTCAAAAAGTAACAAAAGAAAAAAAAAAGATATTCAAAACTTGCAAATGGTAAGAGAGTTCTCGATTTTGTATAATTATCACGTCTATCCTAAAAATCTTTCAAATCATTTTCAAGAAGCAGCTTTAACACTCATACTACCACTTCTTGCGTTAGTGTTTCTCATGCGTGGGTTTGGATGATTCTGATGATTTTGATGATTTTGATGATTTAAATGATTCTGATGACTTTGATGAGATTGATGAGATTGATGAGATTGATGATGAGATTGAAGACTCTGAGCACGGTTATTTTGATTATTATTCTGTTGTTGAATCTGAACATCGTCAAGTGCACTTGGAGCAACATACAATCGCTTGTCAATAACAGGCGGAATAGGTTGAATCTCAGTACCGAGCTCTTGTTCAATCTTGTAAAGGTTGAAACGATCGTCGTAAGTGATGAGATTAATAGCAAGTCCAAGATGACCAAACCGTCCGGATCTACCAATGCGGTGAAGATACGTTTCGGCGTTCTTTGGGAAATCAAAGTTGATTACAACATTAACCGCTTGGATATCGATACCACGAGTAAGTAAATCTAATTAATTACAAAGAGCAATGAAGTAAAATATTTTCGTTAATTCGATTCATGAAAAACTCATCACTTCATCAATTAATATTTAGAAGAGGACATACCAGAGCATACCAAGTTACGACAAACACCGTTTCTGAAATCGTGGAAAACACGATTACGATGACTTTGTAGCATCTTTGCATGACTATAAAAACATGAATAACCAAGCTCGGTTATTTTCTTTGCAAGAAGTTCTACTCGATTGGTCGAATTGCAGAAAATGATGGATTGATTGATTTGTAGCTATAGATCGTTTAGGATGAAAAATTTTCAGTTGAACAATATTAGTAACGGAAATTAATTTTCGTGATAAATGTAGTTTTAGGGTAAATTAAAAAAAAAAAAATATTTTACAAACCTTTGAAAATAAAGTGTTGAGACAGTGCACTTTCTGCCGTTCTTCAACGAAAGCATAATATTGTGTGACGCCACGAAGTGTGAGTTCGTCCATTAAGTTGATCTCGTACGGTTTTACGAGGTATTTATCCTAATAGAATGTATTAAAACCATTAGAATAACCGTTGAAATAGGTCAGGGAGGGTAAGGTCCATCAAAAAGGCTGAAATTATTTATACCTTAAAACTTTTTACAATCAAAGGAAATGTAGCGCTGTATAACATTATCTGACGATCTTTTGGGAAATATGTTATAAGTTGTTCGACAATTGGGGAGAATTCTGGGCTCAACAACTTATCAGCTTCATCCATTACGAATGTGGGACATTCGCTGAAGTCAGCCACGCCTTTTCCGGCCAAATCCAAAATACGACCAGGTGTTCCAACAACGATATGTACGATTTCAGACAAACGTAAAATATCGTCTTTTAACGTTGTACCACCTGTCGTCACCATAACTTGCACACCCATATGCTTGCCGAGATTTTTACATACTTGTGATGTTTGCAAAGCCAATTCCCTCGTTGGAACGAGTAATAACGCTTGAATTTTTTGTTTTTTCACATTAATTTTTTCTAAGGCGGGAATAACAAAGGCTGCTGTTTTGCCTGTACCATTTTTGGCTCTTGCTAGGATGTCACGACCAGTTAGGGCGATTGGTATAGATTCTTCTTGAATTGGAGATGGCCGTTCGAATCCAGCCTCAAATATACCCATCAGTAATTCGCGTTTCAGGAAATAGTCTTCAAATTCGTTTCCCTTTGTGGCTGTAACATCCTGTTCGTGTAACCAATAAAACATTTTTGGATAGATATAAATATAATGCTTCTCGATCTTTTTTTTTTTTTTTTTTTTTGAAACAAAGTGAAATACAAACCTCTGTTTGCGGTCGATTATCTTTGGGGGGTAGCCGTAAATTCTTCTTCCAGCTATCATTTTCGTGACTACCAAGAAAAATAAGGATCAATTATAAATTGATTAAATTTATCTCGGAAAGCATTTATGTTTTTGCTATATAACATAATTAGAGAACTAACGGAAGTTTTTTTTATAGTTAAAATAAATATCAAACTGGCTGATATTACACGAGAATTGTTAATAGTCGCGTAAATGGTACATTGAGAGAAATAACGACTTTACCAGTCTCTTCATGAAAAGCTAATACCACTTTATACAATGAATAAATGAGAATAAATAAATAATAAATATGTAAAAAAAACTCACTTGAGATGGTGTGGCTGTTGATGATGAGTAAGGTTCCCAGCCATTTGAATGTTTAATAATTTTTACAGTTACTATGATACAAAGAGTTATGTATTTTGTGTGAAATGAAACTTTTGAGTTATATGCGTCGTTTTTTTTTTTTTATGAAACGGTCGTCTGTCGGTACTAGTCTTGATGCCTGAACGATCTCTAAACGAAGACACCCACAAAAGAATATTATTTATTTATTTATTTATTTTGTACACAGATGTAAAAGTTGAGTATATATAAGTTGCTTTATAAATAATGGTGATGCAGAATGAACTTATAAACCGAAAAAAAAGGGAAGAAAAAAAAAAAAGAGGAAAAAAAAGTTCGTTGTTATATACTTTTTTATTAGGTTGTAAGGCAAACTTGTCTATATATGTATTTTTTTTGGTTAAGTTATCGTCTCCAAACAAGGGAAAATTGTAAAACTTTATTAGATGGAGGTTTTTTTTTTTTTTTTTTTTTTTTTTTTTCGTCGTTGAAGCGCTGATAAAAAAGATTTATTAAGGAGAAAAAAAAGTTCGGCAGAAAAAAAAAAAAAAAAATTATCCAATAATATAAATAATTGTATAAAGTGTGGGTATTATGTGTGGAGTTATGTCATTATGTTCTTGTCACGTTTACACTTTCATAATAGAAGGGGCTTCTATGTGACACAATAATTGTTCTTTGAATATCAGTTTTATTTTCAATTTTAACGAATGATTTGTGTTGTGGCTTACAATCGCTAGGGTTTGGTTTTGATGGATAAAAAAGTTAATCTCTGAAAATCTAAAAATAAATTTAGAGCATATCGATATGAATATTTCTTTTTTTTAAACTTTCGATATGAAAAAAATCTCCAGCATTGTTATGACATACATGAGTACTATAATTGTCCATTTTTCAAAAAGGTCATTACACACATGACCTTTAAAATGTTCAATCAACTTCCTGAAAATCCGATTTGATGAACCAAATTCCTGGTTTGGATAAGGATATACAAAAAAAAAAAATTTTTTTTTTATACTTTTTAAAATATTAAAATAATGTTAAAATTTTATAACCAGTTCCCTCGTTTTTATCGTAGTAGAAATTTAATTTTCACGCGTCAAATTACTTATTTAAATAACCCAACTTCTTTTAGATATCATGCGATTAAAATTAAACCCAATTATTACTTTACTTCAAACAAAAAATTCTTGTTCTCAACTTCTGCCTCTTTATCAAATTCCAATACAATCGATTCTTCCCCTCCTTCCACACTTTTACCTGAAACATTACCTACGGATGATGTTAATTTCATAATATCATTTAATCAATCTGTCCTGGAATTTATGCATAATTCAACGGCACTTCCATGGTGGGCGACCATACTAATATCAACCATCTTACTTCGTACCTTATTAACTTTACCCATTGCCATAATTCAACAAAAGAGTGGTGCGAGAATGATATCCTTGCAACCACAGATAATGGACGTGTTTGAAAAACTCAAGCATGAAGTCGTAAGGGAGGTTAAAAAACGAAACGGAACTTATGAAGAATTTCAAAGGGAATTAACGAAAAGGGTTTGTTAAAACATTCTTTTTCTCCTCGTCATTGTAATATTAATAGTTTTAATTGGTTCCTTTGTTCCATATAGTTTCGAGCTAAAATAAATGAAATATACAAGGCAAATAAATGTTCTCCCATAAGAAATTATTTACTACCTTGGGTGCAAATACCACTTTTTATTAGCAATTCATTAACTTTAAGGCACATGGTAGATTCCGCTGCAGAATCAAGTTTGGATCCAATTACAGGCTCGAACGTTCTTGACAATTCTACAATTACTTTAGATTCATTGATAAACGGAGGAACATTATGGTTCAATGATTTAACTCTATCAGACCCAACATTTATCTTTCCTTTGGCTATTGGGCTTACTAATTTCTTTAATATTGAGGTAATTTAGGTTCAAAAATAATCTTGTTCCATTTTAACTTTGAAACTTTAAATGTCTTTTTGCATTCTAGGTACATTCATGGTCACTTAAATCTCAACCAAGTCTTAGATCAAAAATATTAAAAAATTTGAGTAGGGTATTGTCTGTACTAATGATACCCGTTGCTTCTCAAGCTCCTATGGTAAATTTATCAATTTTAAATTGATTGGTTGGTTTATATTGATTGATCTACCATGTTAAATTCCTTCTTTATTTATTGGCCTAGGCAATATGTCTATATTGGCTATCATCTAGTACTTTTAGTATTGGACAAAATTTGATTTTTCAATTTCCTTTTATTCAAAAAAAATTTGGTTTTTCTGAAAAGAAAATTGACATTTCTTCATTGTCAAAACAAACAGAAAAAGAGAAAGAGTCGTTTGAGTCAATCAGAAAAAATAATGACTCTAATAAAAAAAATGCATATTTAAAGAAAAAAAAGAAGAAATAATAAACATTTAATCTAAAAAAAAATACGCGAATGGATGATGGTTTTTTTTTGTTTTTAATCTTATTCAAACATTTTTGCAAATTGTTTCTTTTGTGCTTTTTCACGGGCTTGAACTTTTTGTTTAACAATAGCCAATTCTTTCATGATGGCAGCATCTTGAGGATTAAAATCTAAAGCTTTCTGTAAATCTTTTATAGCTGCTTCTTCTTCATTCATGCCAGCTTCAGCGCTGCCACGTCTATATAATGCCTTAGCCTTATCTTTTTCTGATAAATGTTCTGGTGACATCTTAAGTACTATAGTAGTATCTTCGAAAGCGGCTTTCCAATCACGTAATTTAAGTGCGCACGCAGCTTTATTCAGATAACATGTAATTCTAAGCGAATAGAATATTTTTTCGAGATCTTTCTCATCTTCCTCAAATACTGGCTTCTCATTCAAATAACGAATCGCCTAATTAAATTTTTTTTTTAAAAAAAAAAATTTAATTTGAAACGGAAAAAGAAAATAAAGAGCAATTTTATTTTTTTTTAAAAAAAAAAAAAAATTACCTTTGCATATTTCTTACTTGCATTTATCTGGTCTCCTTTTTTGAAGTAATCATTGCCAATGTTTTTAACTGTTTGTGCGATTTCTGTTAATTTTTCAGCTGTCAAAGGTCCAAGCTCGTCCTCTACAAAGTAATAGAATTTTTTTTTAATTAAATGTTTTTTTTGGTGTTATAAAAATATCAAATCTAAATTAACGGACGTTACCAGGCCAATCCTCAAATGAGTCACCATCTGTTGGAGCAGGTATGCCATCGGATTCGCCTTCTTTCAATTCTCCACAATCAGCAATTGTGACCGTCTTTGTCGGTTTGTCATTAGATCCCGTTGGAAGATGCTCAATAGCGCGAACAACCGTTTTTCCAGCCAACACTCTACCAAACACCACATGTTTATCATCCAAATGTGTGGCCTGAATGAAAATCAAAAATGATTAACATTATGAACCAAGGGAAAAATAATTCAAGATCGATTCCAAGGAATGATCGAAAAGAAATTATTACCTTTGCAGTAGTTATGAAAAACTGCGAACCATTCGTGTTTGCTCCAGCATTCGCCATTGATAATAAGAAAGGTTCATCGTGCTTCACGTCAAAACTCTCGTCTATTTTTTTTTTTTTTAAAAAAAGAATTCTTGTTTAGTAAACGTAAATGCAAATACCGTTTCGATCTTTCCTACATAAAGAGAAATCAGATACGAACCATCGAATTTATCTCCGTAAATGCTTTCACCTCCTGTACCATCACCCCTGGTGAAATCGCCACCTTGAATCATAAAATCCTACTTATTAATGATAAGTGAATTAGGGATAAGTGCAAAAAATATTATATACAAACATCTATCTCCTTACCTTGATTACACGATGAAATGTGCAACCTTTATAATGTAAAGGTTTTCCGGAGGCACCAATACCCTTCTCTCCTGTACATAAGTAAAGAAATCAATTAACACAATTCGATTTGGAAGTTATGTAAAAAAAAAAAAAAAATTAATGAAGTTTTGCCTTACCTGTACAGAGAGCGCGAAAATTTTCCACCGTTCTTGGTGCAAGGTCGTCGAACTACATAATAAAAAGTAATATGTCGCGTTAAATAATTAAAATCGCGTTTGTTTTTATCCCTTAATGATTAGTAAAAAATTCCTACTAAAAAGTGATTTGAAATATTAAAATAATTTTGACATCGAACGACCAAAATGAACGATAGATAGCAAGAATTTATGGTTGAAATAATTTGATTTATATTCACTATAATTCTCGGGAAATATATATATATATTGGTTGATTTTACTTGAATATAATTTTAATTTAAGATTGAAACTAAATTCGTCAAGGGAAAAAAGATTTCTTTTCTGACGATTTAAATAATTACCATTTCAAAAACGATTCGACCTTCGCGCACACCATCAATATCTATGTCGAAAAAGCAACGAACGGACATTGTAATTATAAAATTGCAAAAATTGCAGGAAATAGTAGTAGCAATTGCATTTTATATTAATGAAATCGATTTTAGATAGAATTTGCTAGAAATATTGAGAAAGTAAATCATTTAATTTGGTAATTCACTGTTGCTCAACATTTAATGAGGTGATTTTTTTTTTTTTTAAAAAAAAAAAAAAAAAAAAAAACTTTATCGGCTTGAACTTTTTTTTTACTCGTTTCCTTCCTTTTTTTTTTTCCACTAAACATTTAACTATTTTCCGAAACTTGCTTTTATTTCGCCCTCGGATAATCATTTATTTATTCACTGAACCAATGAAATTAATTTCTGGATTGTGCAGAACGATAAAGCGGTATCATAGTAGTAGTAGATCACAACCATCATACTTAACCAATTTCTTTTGTAGGATTTATGGTGTTTCAAAGACACGCGACACTTTAATATTACGATCGATCGAATCTAAATTCAAAAGACGATTTGCAACTTCCTTTGAAGGTCCGGTTGTTGACGAGACAAATTTGAGGTCTCTAAGGTCTAAACATTTATTAGAAAATACTTCGATATCGAAAAGTAAAGATTTCAATTGAACTTGATTTGAATTATTTATACAAAAAGGTTTAACATGTAAATTATTTATAAAGGCGGACCCGTATCACGATATAATGCGCTAGTTGCCTCAGGAATGGTAAGAGAGGATTCATTTCAACGTAGTATTATAAATATTTTACAAGATATGCACGATCGACTATTGAATTATGATCCACCATTTGTCTCTGACGTGAGGGATGAAGTGAATGACGAATCAATTTTCGGCAAAGTAATTAAATCCGTTTTTTAACTCGTTAGATCAAACATATTTTTGATTAAGATAAGATATAAATACATATTCATTTCACCTATCTATCGTTCACTATAGATATCTAAATTGTTTAGCGCGTCAATTAAAAACAATTCTGTTAATAGCCCAAAAGGATTATACTTATATGGAGATGTGGGAAGCGGAAAGACAATGTTAATGGATCTGTTCTATGATACGTTACCAAAGAAGCGTAAACGTCGTGTGCATTTTCATGCTTTCATGTTGGATGTACATGCTCGTATTCACCGTTTAAAGCAAACAAATTATGAAACTTATGATCCAATCCCACCGATCGCGTCAGATTTAGCAAAAAATGCAATAATCCTTTGTTTTGATGAATTTCAAGTAACAGATATCGCGGACGCTATGATTTTACGTCGTCTTTTCGATGAATTATTTAAACGTGGTGTGGTTATCATAACAACTTCGAACCGTCATCCTGATGATCTTTATAAAAATGGAATACAGAGAAAAAGTTTCATCCCATGCATTGAACTCATAAAACAAAGGTGTCAAATTCAAACACTTGATTCCGGTACCGATTATCGTAGACTCCAAAAAGAAACATCCGGTGCATATTTTTACCCGTTGAACTCTCAAACTTCGCAATCCATAAATGCCATCTTTAAAATGTTAACGAAAAATCGTAAAGTTACCCAGAGAAAGTTGGAATTTCTCGGTAGACATTTATTGGTCCCAGAATCTTGTGATGATATAGCGAAATTTACTTTTCAAGAATTATGTTGTCAACCTTTAAGCGCTGCTGATTATTTAGAATTGGTGAAATTTTATAACACAATTATTTTGACTGATATCCCACAGATGAATCTGGTATTGAAAAATGAAGCGAGAAGATTTATTACACTGATTGATGCTTTATATGACACCAAGGTTGGATCATCTATTTTATGTTATTTTATTACTATTTTTATTTTTATATCTTTTAATTACCATATAATGAATTTAAATTAGACAACGTTAATTTGCTCGGCAGAAACATCAATTCATCAGTTATTCACGGTAGAATCCTCATCACATTCAGCGTTATTAAATCCTCAATCCTCAACGCACCATCACACATTATTCGATGATGTTGAATTAGATTTAGAGAAAAGAGAACAAAATAAAAATTCACCAATATTTACAGGTGAAGAAGAAGTATTTGCTTTTGAAAGGGCAATTTCAAGATTGATTGAAATGCAAGGAAAAGAATGGATGAGCAAAGTTATATTAAGAGCTAGATCCGGTGGACAAAGTAGTGTTGCTAGACCAACTGTAGAATATATGGGTTAATCTTAAAAAACTTTAATTAAAATTTATAAATTTAGACTATTTATTAATTAATTAAAAGATAGACTTTTTAATTTGTCAATTATTTATGTAAATCTCGATTCGTTTGCAAATCAATCAAATAAAGTCAAACAATCTATTTTTAGATAAGCATATCGTTTTTAATCCTTTCTCGTTAACAAATTGTCCGAAGAATAAATAATTATAAACACCTGCACAAAAGCAATCACTAATTTTAAACGCGTTCAAGGATAATCGCAATACCTAAGAAAGATTATTTATTATACGTTAGTTTATTTTATTTTATTTATTTATTTTTTTTTTTTTAAAAAAAAAAAAGGGTAAAATGAAAAAGAATAAGAACCTTGACCGCCACCAATACAAGCGGATCCAATGGCATATTGTATTTTGGTTCTATGTAACTCATTAACCAAATGCGCCAAGATGCGAGAACCTGACGCAGCAAGTGGATGACCCAAAGCGATAGCTCCACCATTAGCATTTGTAATGCTACGATCTAATCCTAATTCTTTTTCCACTGCTAAATATTGAGCAGCAAAAGCTTCGTTAACTTCAATTAGTCCAATATCATTAAGATTCAATTTGGCTTTCTCTAAAACCCTTCTTATAGCAGGAACCGGACCAATTCCCATAATGGTAGGTTCGACCCCCGTTGAGAAATAACTAACGATTCTCGCTAAAGGAGTTAACTTGAATCCCTTTACAGCATTTTCACCAGCAACGATTATCGCTCCGGCACCATCACTTATGCCAGAGGCGTTGCCAGCAGTAACGAGGCCGACATCTTTTTTAAATACTGGAGCAAGCTTTGCAAGTGATTCTATCGTAGTTTTTGGACGAGGATGTTCATCCGTGTCAAATATTTCAACACCCTTTCTCGTTTTAATTTCAATAGGTACAATTTCTTGTTTAAACCGTCCGGCTTCATTAGCTATATTTTCGTAAAAAAAAAAAAAAAGAATATTAGAATGAAAACTATGCGTGAAGACATAATAAGGGAACGATTTATATTTACCAGCCGCCCAACGTTTTTGACTACTTAACGCGTATTCATCCGCTTGTTCACGAGTAATATTATATTTCTCGCCTAGATTTTCAGCTGTAATACCCATCGGTGTTTTTGACGGATATTGATCAACCAAAGCAGCAGCCAACGAATCCTCTAACTTGAGATCAACCCCATAACGAGTTCCCCAACGGGCGTCATTAAGGGTATAAGGCGATTTACTCATACTTTCCGTTCCACCAGTTAATACAACATTTGCATCACCAACTCGAATTTCATGAACGGCATTAATAACTGATTGAAATCCACTACCACACAATCGATTTATCGTTAATGCTGGCACATGAACAGGCAAGCTAGCACGATGTCCAACATGACGAGCTAAATAAGCCGCGGTGCTATCGGTATGGCAAACGTTACCAAATATCACGGAATCAATTGGAACGTCTTTTGGTAAAGTATTAACAGCAGCCTTTGCAGCAATTCCACCAAGTTCGGTCGCTGTAATGTTTTTGAACGATTTTTAAATAAGAAAATGCAGATCATCAAAATTAGAAAAATGAATATGTACCTGTATAATTCTTTAGCGTACCACCAAAAGCTCCAAAAGCAGTTCCTTATATGAGTTTAGTGAAGCGTAATGTTAAAAATTTACTTATAATTAAAAAAATAAATTAAATTAAATTAAATTAAAATTAAATTAAAAGAATCACTTTTAGCAGCTACAATAAATACATTCTGTGCCATTTTATGATTTTAACGGAAAAATGAACAGTTGATGCATATAGTCAAAAAAAAAAAAAAAAAAAAAGATGTAACAGGCCATGGTATCCGCAGACAAGATTTAAATGGAAAATTTTTTAATTAGTGTAACTTAATTCAACTTTTTTTGTCACACAATTGTTTGAATTGTTGAAATAAAAAAAATTTATATTTCATCGCAAGGGCGTGTCAGTTTTTAATTTTTAAAAAGGAAAGTTTCGCCACTGTTTTTTTTGTATTGAGCCCTGTGTTACAGTTGAAAAAGGCAGCATGAAAATATATTCTTTTGACTGAAATAATCATTGTATCTTTTAAGTTATTACTTTTGAGTGCCTGTCACTTTCATTTTCAGCAACTTAAACCCCCCTCTCCTGCTGAGAAAATATTCATACACCTACGACCAGGTCAATCATTTACCTAGTTAATAGTCAAATGGATTCCTCTCACAAAATATCTCCGATTGAATCCGCCACAACAAATGTTCTTACAGTGGTATTTATAATTTTCCTTGAAAAAATTAAATTATACTCGTTTTTCAACTTATATCGAATTAAAATAATTTTTTTTTTCTTTCGCTACTTTCTAGTCAGAAATAACCAAAGTGAGCTGGTGCAAGTACACTTATACTTGTTCTGGAGACAAACTCCACTCCTTTGTCACTTCCTCCCCACAACGGTCGTCGTCGTCGTCCTCAACTGAATTCGACAGTCTATCATGTATCTACGATCCGATAATCGTTAACTATTTGATATTATTAGAGAATGGTATACCGTGTACGTGGAAATTTAAGGACGAAAGAGAAAATAACTTTGAAATAGTATTCACCGATAAAACGTTGGTCCGAGAGTTGTATGTCTTCTGGCTCGGAGATGCTGAAGATCGCCCTTCGGTCCTAAGCAATTCAACTCGGCTTGAGGGTAAGAATTTAGATTTATATATATAAATTATTTCATTTGTCATTTGACTTCATTAATTTTCTCATACATTCGTTTTGTGTATTTATCTAATTTAATTAATAATTATTTTTTTGTAGACCTTGAATATGCAGGTTGCGGAGTATTTAACTGGGAGAGCTTTGAAAGTTCATCAATACAATTTGACCTGTTTATAAGGTCATTAAAAAATATAATAAGCCGGTAAAATATCTTTATATTACATATTATTTACATCTTTTTTTTTTTTTTTTTTTTTTTTTTGAAATTCATCATAAAAGCTCATTTTTCAAAAAATAATAATAGAAAATTAATAGGGAAAGGTGCAGTCCCGATTGGGGAGTCGCATTTATTTCCGAAATATCAGCAAAAAGTGTACGAAAGGTAAGTTTTGGATTTGGATAGTTTCAATTCATTTATTGAATTTGAATACCTTTCTAATTTTTTTTTTTTAAAAAAAAAAAAAAATCTCATCTAGCATACTGTCTTGTAAATACCATATTCACATCGCGCCTACTAATTTGGTTATGAAGCCAGTTATCAAATATCAAAGTTTGCGTCCATTATCATCATTTGATTTTTCTTCAACGTCAGAGGAAGTACAAGTCTTGTTGGTGCCCACAGGAATTAGGGCAACTCTTTTACCATATCGTCGTTATGAATCTGATGATATTGCAGTTGTCTTGAACGAATTCAAAACTTTATTTGGGTTGGACCTGTCAAATCTAGAAGATGACATATCGATACCCCCATTAGTGCATATACGAATAACGTATGACAATACTACCAAAGAACTTCCATACCCTGCAAAGGGTATTTACGTTATAACAGATATCAATAATAGCTATCGTTGGGAGGCTCAAGATTCAGGGATGTTACCAGAAGTTTTTAGTAATGTTATAGAACAAAGGTCTAAGCCAAGCGAAAGATGGCAGTATAGTGATCATTCAAAAGATATTACGCAGATCTTAAAACATAAAAATCCCAATGATTTAAACGCATCATCTCCTGGCGTAGATACAATGACACCTAATACTCCTGGAATGGGTAATGGCACATCAAGTGCCAGCTCGCCAGGACATAGTTTGGGTGCCAACCGATCCTCAAAGAAGAGATCTTCGGGCGAAACAAAGGCTTATCCTTCACCCCCGGATGTTATGCCGTCTAATGATGTTCAACTACAGCAGCTACAAAATGACGAGATATTACACCTACCCGATCTCAGTGCTCTAGAATCAGAAATTATGCTGGATTATATTGATATCGAGGGTGAAATTATGCAGTCCGATTTCGATTCTTTTGACAAAAACGTAAGTGGTTATTTTTAAATAAATAGTTTACTTGTTGTATTCAGAATTCCTAATAAGTTTTAAAATTAACGTTTCAATTTTTGATTAAAGCCGCAAACAATTTCGTCGACAACAAACTATCATACGACTTCACCTTATTTATCTACAACTAATGAAGACTCTCCATCTATTGTTCAAAATCAAACTACTTTAGTCGAGCACAATCAACAAAAAATTGATCATGAAATTAAACTTGAGATAAGCAAAGTTAAGTTCAGATATTGTCCTGAAGATTATTCTCCATTAATATTTCACAACGAAGTTGACATGTCTAAATATATGCCTGGAGGGAAGTTTTGTCATTCTACAAACCGTAAAAAACGAAAGCGAGATTTCTTATATACTCCAGAATATAAGCCTGCTTGGATTGTCGAAGCCAAAAAATCCAAATCGTCAGATGATAATTCAAATCAATTTTATAGGCAAAAAAGGCACAAAGAGGAGGATTATGAATATTCTTCGAGTGAAAGAAATACTCATTGTACTAGTGAGAGTAGCGAAAGTGAGTCTTCTGAATCTGAAACAGAAACCGACAGTGATTCAGATCTTGAATTTGACGCTCTTGCGAATAATTTTGATGTTTCAAATCGCCGCGAGCTAGATTTCTTAAATGCTGGACGTCTAAGTATGATATTTAATGTTTACGATCTTCATGAGCGACGGCAACTTCGACGCTCGACAGATCGCGAAGTTTGCAATGATAAACTATCCAAATTAGCATTACAGTTCCTTCGGGAACAAATAGTTGGTGGTTCGTATCCTTTTGGCGCAGGAATCCATGGTGATGGCGAGAGTACATTTGAGTTTATTGAATCACGCAGGCGGATTTTAGAAATTCTTGATGGTGGTAAATATTTTCTCAAATATGTAGATATACATATATCATCATCGTTATTAATGATAGATTTTGATTACTTAAATTTTTATATATTTTTAATTTCTATAGATCTTCCTACATCTTCGGCTCTTCCATCAGAGCGACAAGAAATCACTATGTCATTAAAGAAGGCTGTTGAAGAAATTTCTGATCAATTTCCACTTCCAGAAAAGCATTCAAAGTTGTCTGTTATTGGGCCGTTGTCTGTTCAAGATTATTATAACTTAAATGGTAAATATATACTTTTCTTTTTCTCTTGTTTATAATTGCTTTCATCTCATAATGAACTTTATTATTTAATTAAAAGCTACGGATAATAAGGATTCGGAGCCTAATTTCCAAGCGTTCAAGACACCTGATGTAATTGTCTGTGCTGATGAATTTCTTATCGAGACTTCCCCGGAGATCGTCAAGTATTGGGATAAGCACAACCTCACTCCTTTTGCCGATAGAAAGGATATTAAATACTTTGTTTTCTATCCAGATAGCGAGTCACTAAAATTTCATGTGGAGAATTTTTTCAATGAACTGCGGGTCCAGTATGAGGTATTTATTCCAATTTCGTTTATTTTACCAATCTATTTATTTCATTTTATTTTATTTTTTAAAAAAATGGTAAATTTAATTTCTAATCGTTTATATTTTAAAATTTTATAATAAAGCTTCACTGTGTTTTAGGAAAACATGAACCTGCAACTATGAAAAGTTTCAAACAGGGCATGGTACCCATTCAATGTAATAAAAATTTTATGCTAATACTTTATAACTTTTAAAAAGTTCTTTCATTAACTAAGATCCTTACATGTACATTCATTGATTAGTAGCGTCAAGTCAGGAAACAGAACTGGATCGCATGATTCGCAGTTATGAAACAACTTGTGATAATTTTGGTATGTAATAATTCATTTTTAGGATTTAAAATTAATACCATTTCATTAGCTAGCACTAACATTTTATTATAAATTATTTTTTAAGGTCGTTCATTGGCACCACTAATTGATAACTCTGGGAAGACGCAACTCGTAATATATCTCGTCAACCCTTTTGATCACCCGACGGCTAGTTATGATATATTTAAGTGTTATGCTAAACTTTACACGTCACTTGAAAATTCATTGAAATCTGTCTCAAAAAACGGATTGAACAATGTAATTCCACAACTCATACCGATTGATCACATTGTTCGATTCGATAAGAATTGTATTAGACCATTCAAACTAAGGCCTGTTCTAAGGGATTTGGCTTTCAGTGTATACACTCGTTCAAAATCTTATCGACCACTTTTTATCTTACCTAAACCTTCCGTCGTTTCCGTCAGTTTCCAGTTGTCCAAAAAAGCCCCTCCAGTCAAAGAACTTGTTAAGTACAACAAGATTTTACACATGTGCTATGGTTTTAGCTTTGATCAACGCATTTGTATCATAGTTTGGGTTGATATGGAAGGTAAAAGGCTAGGAAGTTACTCAATTCCAACTTATGATAATAAAAATCAAACCAGTCTAGAATCTTTATATAAAGAAGCTTGGAGTAGGACCTGCGCTTTTAGTAAGCACACGGGTGGCTTTAGACAAGTTATAATTACCAAAACCGGAATTATGGATAAGGAAGAAAAAAATTGTAAATAATAATTCTCATATAATCTAATTCTTATAACTATGAATTATAATTAATGATTTTCCTTTTTTTTTGTTTATAAAATTAATAGTATGGGTGGAAGTTACTAAAGGAATAATGCCTATCTTTAGCGTTAATCTCGATACCGCATTTGACATTAAACCGACGCTGGATGAAAATGTGCAGAATTCAAAAGTATTTGGCATGGTTTTAAGTAATCCTATTCCAAGTAAAGACTTTCGATCTGAAATGACAGGCTTTCTAATTGAAATGAACAATAATGAGGCTGTATTTAACACTATTCAGGTAAATACCAGGTTTTGTAATCGTATTTGGAAAAAAAATTTTATTCTTAATCTAAAAATAAAAAAAAATGATTGTTTTATTGTTCTTAATTAGGTGGATCTTTTGTATAACCCAGGAAATGATAACAAAAGTACTACCGTTATGTGGGATGTACTCAATCAATTCCATGTACTTTCTTTCATGGAGGTTGCAACAACTCGCAAGTGTTTACCGATTCATGTATTGATGGTAGAACGCTGTTGCCGAGAGTATTTGGGTGTTCCCATTTAAAAATGATTTAAAACAATATTGGATCGAATCAAATAATACCAATCGAAAAATTTTGTATATAGAATATTTTTATTGTTTACATCAAATTATTTTTTGTTCTAATTTTTTATTTTTATTTTTATTTTCATTATTTTCCCTTTATATTTCTTTTGTATTAAAAAAAAAAAAATTGCTCCTACGTAGCAAAAAACAAAAAAAAACTTTTTGTATTGTAATTTTTTTTTTTTTTTTTTTTGTTATTTTTGTCATTTTCTCGTACATTATGTATATATAATTTTTTCTCTAGATGATTTTATTATTATTATTATTATTATTTACTTATTTTACTTATTTTACTTATTTTTTCTTCCTCTCTTTTACACTATATATATATATATATTGATTTATATAATCAATCGTTATTAAAAAAGTCATTAGCATATGTAAAGGACAATTGATTATAATCAATATTATGAAGAATATAATTTAAATAATTTTTTTATATATTTTATTAATTAATTAATTTTTACTATTGAGGGTTTTAGTATACTCTAAAAAACATTTATGCATTATATAAATTGAAAAATTTCCCAAAAAAAAAAAAAAAAAAAAAACCAAAAAGCAAAATATATATATATATAATTTACATCATTTATACTGTATTATTTTATTAGGTTAATTCTTTCAAAGGTAATAACATAAATATCGCATTAAGTATTATAAAATAAATTTGTATTTATATTAATCTCTTATAACTATTGTCTTGTAAAATATAGCATTGAATTTAAATGTTTGGAGAATTTCGTTACAGCAATAAATATGTTCCTGGATTTTATTTTCTCAAACTGAATCATCCACAGGGAAAAAAAAAAAAAAAAACGCATTATACTAATTATTTTACATTGAAGAATTATTAAAATCATAGAATTGGTTTAATAAGCCAATTACACCATCATTACGTGGGTTATCTTCTTCATTTGATTCATTTAATATTCCAACACCACCCATCCATGAGTCACCCAAATCGCTGACATAATGTTCGTTCAATGGGTTTGAAGGTGGCGGATTACCACGATAAAGTCCGTGTGGTGGTGCATGAGATGGTCCAGCATGTGTCTGGTAATTCTCACCATTGCCTTTAACTCCAGCATGAGAAGTATTATTTGAGACGTTAAAATGAACATTATTATTGCTATTACGTTTTCCACTATTATTTGTTTTAAGAATAGAATCAACAACAGACATGCGCGTGGCGTTAGGGCGTTCCGAGTTAACTTGGTTGTTAAATTCTGTTAAACGACTAAGGTAAAGAGATCCGAATGGGTCTGTTGGTTCCCAATCTGGATGATTTGCCTGTTATATGAAATAATAATTACTATCAAAATATTATTTAAACTGTAAAAAGAGACAATTTTATGTTACCTTAAAATTCAGAAAGCTTTTTTCCATTTTACCATCTTTCGAAAGATAGTACTCATCTTCGACTTCTGATGCTGGTGCACCATACTAAGAATGATTATTAAAAATTGATATTAATAAACCTAATACATCATACATACATTATAATCTACATTATATACCTTAACATTGCCATGTCTTCTAAAATCGAAAACCGCGAAACTGCAAACATAACCAACACCATCTACATGAACAGTAAATTCACGAAAGAAGTCTATAATTTGCTGTACAATAAAGTTAGAGAGTTAAGGAAAAGAATACATATATTCCTCTATCCTACTGTCAAAATAACGCGATAAATAAGGATATGACTACAATCTGCAAGAGAATACCAGAGCACAAAAGGAGTGAAAATAACACTAAATATCTCTTGAATATACAGCGTAACTTTGAGTTCAAATAATTGAATAAATTCTCTTCGAACCTAAAATAATAAAATCATTATATTTATACATGAAAGCACAAAAAATTTTAAATATCCTTTAAATATAAAATTTTACCTCGTCTGTGTGCAAACGTCCTCTCCAACCATCAGGAGAATAATGTGTATGTTCAACAACCATTTTCAAACTATCTTCTGGATCAAAAACCAGATGATCATCAGGAATCGTGTTACGACTAACCGCAAACAGTGGTACCAAAACGCTAGTATAAAAGAAAACTGTACGTCCAGGCGTAATTTCGAAGCCGAGAAAAAGCTCGGGATCAATATAAGATGCTAAGATTAATACGGCTGTGAAAGAACCAATTATAAAAAGTAAAAATCTTTTGTAGAAGGTTTAAAAAGGATTAATTTATTATTAACAGTACGATTTATGATAAATTAATAATAAATTCACAAAACCTTGTAACCAATATAGTTTTTGCTTTAGGGAATTGATCAATATATTTATTGGCGGGTTTATAGCTATTATGCAGTCTTTGAAGAAATAAATGAGGAAGTTCATTAAATTCTCTAAATTTCCATCGTGCAAATTGTGTCCATTGACGCGAACCAAAAAGAGAGCCAGGGTCTGAACGGTATTCCTAATTTTTTTTAAAAAATATATATATATCAAATGTTTAGAGATGAACAAATAAATTATAAATTTAAAATATTAAATTAATCTAACCTCGAAATATCGGAAAAAGAAAAATACAAGTAGATAAATTATTATAAAAGGTGCCAATACAAAATTAAGAATTCCCATGAAAACAATTCGGTTACGTAAACTTAATAATTAAAGAATTAAAGAGAATTATTACATATAAAAGTCGTTATACAATAATTCATATCATATCAATTAATTCCGTGCCTTACCTATGAGCAAGCTCTTTTCTTTCCGCATCTTTAACATTTTTAACAAATTGTTTCCTAACCTCTCCGTGATCATTAAAAACATAGTTCATCACACACCAATTTAAATTCCATTCCATAGTCTTCGTCAAGAAATTTTGCTTTCTAAGAAACGGAATCGGTATCGTTAAATTTAATATATTCTTATTGAAGAGAGCTATCAAATAATTATCCTGACGCATGATTCTATTGGTAATATTATGAGCATCTAAACGTTGTTGTGGTTGATCATTAACTTGATAACTTGTTATTGGGTTACTATCTCTTATTTTAATTATCTGTGAGACTACTCTTTGCCATGAAACAGTTTGCATATCCTCCTAATAATTAAAATTTTAAGATTAAAAATGATCATTAACCACCATACTTTCTAAACAATAAAATTTTAAATACGCACATCAGGAATATGAAGGAGATGCGTATAAAAATTATACATGTCATTTAAACCACGATAATCTAATACAAATTTAATAATTGTCCAGATCCAAAGACCAGTAGATATAACGAGAAATAACTTTGTCCATCCGGATAATCTTGAAGGTAAAAAAAGATGAAATAAATAAAGAAAATCTTTACACTTTAAGATACTGATTGACTTACTTTCCAATACAATTCGGTATTATAACTTGAGATAAACTTTCGCTGTGACGAACTATTGAATAATCTACGCATCCAAGCAAAAAAGTTGAAAATCCAAGCACAAATCCCATAGTTCTAAAAATCAATAAATAATATCATCTATTTGTTCTTTTTTTTTGTTTAACAAAAAAGAAAAAGGAACTTACAATAAATTTAGAAATCTACTTAATAAAATACAATAAATCCCCTTTCCGGTATAATAAGAATAAACCTGGACTCGTATAATAAGAAAGAATAATTAACTACTTATTTGAAACGTAAATGAGAAATTTTTTTTTTAAAGAAAAACCCAATGAATATTCTTGATATAACCTACGTTTGCAAGAAATAAATCGAGATTTTCTACGTTAACCCATTTCCACATTGTTAGTTCTATATCATCCGCCCCCGGCTTCGGGTTGAATTTCTTATGACGCTGAGCGGGTTGTGAAGGCAACTCTACAATTAATGAAGGAGGAGCCTCATTACTATCCTGATCGGAAAAACGATCTTCATGTTCATTATCAGGTAACTGCTGGTATCTTTGTTGTCTTTGATTTGATATAGGTGGAAATGACGGAGTTCGAGAAGGCGGTGAGGAGGTATTTTGTCGTAATACATAACTATTTGACGCTTCTTCTTCATAATCATCTTCATTATCGTCCTGAAAAGCAACATATGGTGCATCATTTGCTCGAAACCGGTTAAAAATTGACTGATCATTCATTTTTGACGCGAAATGAAAAAACGATTCTGTTTGATTTTAACATATAATCACTTTTGTTTCACCAAAATTAGTGATTGTATAGAGGTGTGACTTAAACCTCCGCATTGGCGTTTATTTATTTTTAACAATGATCAATTATATATAAACATAAACATACATCAAAAAATTTTCCCTCACAAAAATATAAAAGTCATTACAAGTCCCACTTTGCACAAATTTTCCCCACTCACAATTTATTAACCCTTTTAAATAAAAAATATGAAGTTATCGTCTTATAAGATTGAGTCGATACAAGAACGGATAAGATCCCTCGAACGATAAGTCGATCCCATTCCATCATATTTACGTACTAAAAGATTAAAATTAGAAATCATCTAGATTGATTTTTATCACCTTTTATTTATTTTCTTATGATATCATCCCTATTTAAAATACTTCTTTTAAATTATTTACATTTTTACAACTTGGTAAATTTTACAAAATGCCGGTCAAAAGCATTACCACTACTCCATATGATGGCCAAAAGCCTGGCACGAGTGGCTTAAGAAAGCGAGTTAAAATTTTCCAACAAGAAAATTACACACAAAATTTTATCCAAGCTACCTTGGATGCAATGCCCTCTCCCGGTGCCAAAGAATCTACCCTTGTTGTAGGTGGAGACGGTCGTTATTTTTCTACGGAAGCTATTCAAATAATCATACGCGTTGCAGCAGGAAATGGAGTATGTTAACACTTATTTACTTTTAACTGAACCAAACTTCGCGAATCTCACAGAAATGGACTATTATTCGTATAACCTCATTTTTAGGTTAGTAAATTAATTATTGGAAAGAATGGTATTCTTTCAACTCCCGCTGCTTCTAATCTTATTCGTAAGCGTAAAGCCAACGGCGGTATCTTATTGACGGCTTCTCATAATCCCGGAGGTAAATAATGAAGAATTTAAATCATTCTCGGCTGTGATTATCAGCTGATTCCTTTTCTTCCCCATTGAAGGCCCCGATAATGATTTTGGTATCAAATATAATGTTAGCAATGGAGGTCCCGCTCCTGAAAGTGTCACAAATTTGATTTACGAATATACCAAGAAATGTAACCAATATCATATATGTGATATGCCTGAGGTGTGATTTATTATATATATATTAAAATATACTGTCTTCTTCCTAACCACTGAATAAATAATTTTTTGTTAGATTGATCTATCCAAAATTGGAGTTCAAACAATTGATGGTTTTACTATCGAAATTGTGGATTCTGTAAATGATTACGCGCAATTACTTAAAGAAATTTTCAATTTCGAACAAATTAAGCAATTCTTTAAGAATAATCCCAATTTTAAAGTCCTTTTTGATGGCTTACATGGAGGTAATAGCTAGTTTTCGAAGATTTTATTTTATAATAAACATTTATTGTAATAATCTTTTTTTTTATTTATTCAAGTAACGGGACCTTATGCTGAGCGGATTTTTGTTGAGGAACTTGGTCTTTCACGTTCTTCCATACAAAATTGCACACCATTACCCGATTTTGGTGGTAGTCATCCTGACCCCAACTTAACCTACGCTCATAGTCTGGTCGAACGCGTTGAAAGAGAAAATGTCAATTTCGGAGCTGCCTCTGACGGTGATGGCGATCGTAATATGATTTACGGGAAAAATGCTTTCGTCACACCATCAGATTCGGTAGCTGTTATTGCAGCTCATGCTGAAGTTATTCCATATTTCCAAAAATCTGGTGTTAAAGGGTTGGCACGCAGCATGCCAACAAGTGCAGCTATTGACTTAGTTGCGAAAAAAAAAGGGCTGGAAATTTTTGAAGTACCCACTGGTAAGCTATATAATATTTTATTCTATTCAATATATCATATTATTTATCTTTTTTTTTTTTATGTAATAATAATTTCTTTTATGATATGAATATATCCTTGCAGGTTGGAAATTTTTCGGTAATCTTATGGACGCGGGTCGTTTATCAATCTGCGGCGAAGAAAGTTTTGGTACTGGTTCTGACCACATTCGTGAAAAAGATGGTGTATGGGCTATTGTGGGTTAGTATGCATATTTGAATTATTATTTTATTAAAAATATCTAACTAATTAAATCATATTGATATGTGCAATAGCGTGGCTTAACATTATAGCTGCGGTAAATGAAAAGAGACCAGGTGTTGGTATTAAAGAAATTCTTCTTGAACATTATCAAATTTATGGACGCAACTTTTTTTCTAGGTAAATATACATTTTTTTTAGGAAGATTACATAAATATTGATATGCTTATTGACTTTTCAATCTGATATTAGATATGACTATGAGGAAGTTGAAAGTGAATGCGCTAATAAAATGGTTGAACACCTTCGCCATTTGATTGGAGTGGGTAAAGATGACTTTATTGGGAAAACCTTCGGTCAATTTACGGTTAAAGAAGCTGATGATTTCGAATACTGTGATCCAATTGATGGAAGCGTATCTAAAAATCAGGTAATTTGTATTATTTATAAGCTTTATTTTATCTTAAAATTACTAATTTTTATGTAATTCAAAGGGTGTCCGTATTATATTTACTGATGGTTCACGAATTGTCATTCGACTGAGTGGTACAGGAAGTCAAGGTGCAACGATTAGATTATATGTAGAAAAATATTCTCAAAATGTTTCGGAGTATGAATCTGACACTCAAGAAGCTTTGAAGCCATTAATTGATGTTGCATTGCAAATTTCAAAGTTGCAAGAATTTACAGGACGTGCCAAGCCAACTGTTATTACTTGATTATTACTTTAATATATCAACTTTTGCTAGGGAAAATACAATTTTTAAGTTTCTTATATTTTTATTTATTACACTAAAATGTCTCTTTAAATTAGAAAAAGATGGATTATATTAATAGACTTCATTATATAAAGTCACATATTCCACTTTGTTTTTTCAAAAAAAAAAGAAAATGAACCATTAACTTATTCTGTGCGTAACAGTTATCTATAAAATGTCATGATTTTTGATCGACATTATTCATGTGACAAAATTCAGGGGATCGGCGTCCCTAGTTCAGTTGACAAATCTATTGCAATAGTCACAGGTTCTCTGTATGATTATTATAAGAACTGAATACATGGGTGTATATACTTATATGTATTAGAAACTGGTCAATTGATCTATCAATTGACATTGAATACTGGGTTTAAAAAATAAGTGAATACAAACAAAGTTAGGGATTGATAAAAACTTTGGTCTTTGCTAATAGGTTTATAATAGATACTGTTTTACATTCAAGATTCTTACATAAATAAGAAAGTAATTAACTATTAATTAGTAGATTGGATATTCCGCAAAGGATTATGATAGTAATAGATTGCATTGCATTATCACAACTTCATTTAATTGAATTATCATTTAAGATAAAGGTTAAATTCAATTCCTAAGTATATTTGATAATATAGATATGATTATTAACTATCTTTCTAAGTACTATATAGAATGATAATTCCTATAAGGTTGTTTCATCCTAGACTTTCTGATCATATGTTAAAAGATTATTAATTACAGGTAGAAGTTATAGTGATTCTGATTGTTATGATAAAAATAAAAAAGTGATAATCCTTATGGTTAAAATATCCTTTCATCAGTAGTTCTGAAGGTTTAGAAATATCAGATCTAAAATTCTAGATATCTATAATTTAATGGCAATCTTCAGATCAATATCATCAAGTAGGTTCTAATTAAAACTTAAGTCTAAACACAAACTTTACTAGAATTTAAATATGCTAGACAATAAAATTTTAGAGTTCTTATAAATCTAATAATAATTTAATAACTTTTAAATACATTAGATTTTAAAACTAAAAAAAAGTAACTTAAAATTCATACTTAATTGATAAAGATATACAGTCAACTCTTTCTACAACGAATTTTGATATAACAAATTTTACAAAACAACGGATTTTCAGTGTCAGACAGATTTTTAAATATAAAAAACCCCTTACTATACCGAATTTAGTAATTAAAAATTTGTATTACGTTTAACAAATTAAAGTCAGAAAAATTTATATATAAAATGACTCTCTTTATAATGAATTTTCTCTATAACGAATTTTTTTTTGATAAAACAAAATTTTGCTTAAAATAAATTTTACTAGATTTATATATATAAAATTTTGTAGTTCTTTATATCTAGTTTTTAAATAAAATTAAAAAATGAATAAATATTCGCATTACACGTTGTGTCTTGTATTTCATTTTTTTTTATATATTTTATTTTTTACGAGTTTTTTTTCTTGCATAATGTCAATAATGTCAAAAATAAATTTAAAGAAACAATTTAATCAACCTACTAACAAACAAGATGAACCTTTAAAAAAAATGAAAATCTCTTACAGTTGCACAAAAAAAAGCTTTGTTTGAAAAAAATATTATCATCTTTTTTAAAACAAAAAGACTTAGCTAATGAATATAACGTTAGTGAAAGCATGGTAAGTGATATTTTAAAGGAGAAAGACTGTTGGCTTTCTGTGAGTACCAATTTATACTAAGCCAATTTGAAACGTGATAAGAAAACTCCATTCCCTCTTGTTGAAGAAGCATTAGTAATATGAGTAAATAACGCACTCAAAGCTAGCCTTATTATTACTAACGATATTCTTTCAACAAAAGCCTTGAGTTTTGCTTTTTTATTAAAGGAGGATAAGTTTAAAGAGTCTAGTGGTTGAGTGGATAACTTTAAAAAATGACACAATCTTAAACAGTATGTTATACATGGAGAAGCTACAAGTGCATCACTCAAAGATCTCAAAATAATGAAAAATAATCTCTGGCAAATATTAAAAGAATATAGTTCTGAAGATATATTCAATTGTGACAAAATAGGACTGTTTTGAAAGATGAAACTATGTCAAATGATATCCAATGAACAAACATCAGGAAAAAAATAATCAAAGAATTGTTTAATGATTTTACTCACATGCAACGTAACAGAGAATGAAAAGCTGACGCTTTTGTTCATACAC